CACAACTTGACCCCAAATAACTAGTTAATTACAGACCGATCTCGAATCTCCCTTTTCTGTCCAAGATACTAGAATAGGTAGTATCCTCACAATTATATTCCTTCTTAGAGAAAAATGGTATCTGTGAGGATTTCCAGTCAGGATTTAGACCGTATCATAGTACCGAGACTGCTCTCGTTAGAGTTACAAATGACCTGCTCTTATCATCTGATCTTAGCGCTGCGTTCGTCACTATTGACCACAACATTCTTTTGAATAGACTAGAAAACTTTGTTGGCATTAATGGAAGTGCATTAGCATGGTTCAAATCGTACTTATCTGACCGCCATCAATTCGTAGCAGTGAATTAAGAAGTATCATATCGATCACAACTGCAGTACGGAGTACCTCAAGGTTCAGTACTAGGGCCGTTACTTTTCACGCTTTACATGTTACCCCTGGGAGATATCATCATGAAACACGGTGTTAGCTTTCACTGTTATGCTGATGATACTCAGCTCTATATTTCTTCGCGGCCCGGCGAAACATACCAATTTGAAAAACTAACGGAATGCACAGTCGATATAAAAAACTGGATGACAAGTCATTTCTTACTGCTAATTTCTGAAAAAAACAGAGGTGTTAATTATCGGACCTAAAACCTCCCCATGTAATAACACTGTCTAAGACTCGATGGCTGCTCTGTCAATTCTTTAAAGGGTTAGTTCATCCAAACATATAAATTCAGTCATTATTTATTCGCCTCCACACAGTTCAATCATTGGTGAACACAAAAGGTGATTTTAGTTAAGTCTGTCCTGCTGGTTTCTGTTCATACAATATCAGTAAATTGAGCCTGATTTTCAGAAGCTTCATGACATTATTTGATGTCATTATTTTATTTTAATGACACCAGCAGCAAGCTTACAATGTCCTCAGCAGGAACACCACTTGTAGCCATTTGTTCCCCGTTGATGAAACAAAAACACAGTCTGTTTTTCATGGATTCATCTGGTATCATGGACCCGGAGGACTGCAGGGCGTTCTCCTCCCGACACACACCTGTGCAGGTGGTCTTCCTCCCGGGATAGTGATAACCCAGTCAGAAGATGAGAAGACAGACTGAAAAATGATGCCTGTGGAGGGCGAGGTGAGGCAGGCCCTCGTGTGTTTCTTACAGAGGACTCGAAGGCAGAGAAGAGAGCTTTAGCACATGTCTTTCCTGAAGCCACACAGCTGCTCTGCATATTTCATCTTCTGCAAGCTGTGTGGAGGTGGTTGTGGAACAAAGAACACGAAGTTGAGATGAAGGACAGGCAGACTCTGTTCAGCATAGTAAAAGACATGCTTTATGCCAGGGAGATGAGTACAGTTGAACAGCAAGCCCAGCAAGCCCTTGACAACCCTTTGACCACCAGGTAGAGAAAATAGTAGACAGGTAGAGGTATTTAGTAGTATACCTC